CAGCAGTAGTAGTGGCAGCGGCAGCAGCACAGGTGGCCGCAGCTGCAGCAGTGGCGGGTTCAGCTGCAGCGCCTGCAGCAACCTCCACAGCGGGGCCCAGATGGACCCGGCCAGTACACACACCGGTATGTGGGAGCTGCAACTGCTATTGAGCCTTGTGTTTTCAGTCTTGGTGCGTGTGTAGTTTCCGGTCCAGGTGCCTCAGAGGTTCTTAGTGTGGGAGCTGCAGCCACCACTAGACTAGTACCAGCCTTTGTCGCTGGCTCGGGTGCGACCTCACCGACTGCACGGCTTTCTTTCACCCTAGACTCTGGAGCGTCCAGCTGTTTCTTTCGCGACTGCACCGACCTCACGCCACTACACACTCCAGTCACTGTCGCCTTGGCTGACCCCTCCGTAGGATCTGTAGTTGCCGAGAGCACCACCACTCTCCCATGTCCAGCGGCTCCCTCTGGGTTTCTCACAGGTTACTACACCCCCTCGTTCTCTAGGAACCTGGTGGGTGTCAGTCACCTCCACGACCTCGGAGTTGTCACCACTTTCCCACTGCACGACCCTGTTGCCTCCTGCACAATCGGTGCCACTGGGGCGCCTCTAGCCACTTTCCACAGGGAGCCGGGCTCTGGTCTGTACTCACTACACACTGGGTCCCACCACACTGGGTCAGGTCAGGTCAGGTCAGGTCAGGTAGCTGCTGTGTCGTGCGACTGTCGGTCACTCACCCACCCGTCGGTCCTCTGGCACCACCGTCTCGGTCACCCGTCGTTCCCACGTCTCAGTAGGATGGTACGTCACCGTCTGGTCTCAGGTCTCCCAGAGTCGCTTGCCCCGCTTCCTCGCTCGCCTGTGCCGCCGTGCACTCCCTGCGTCGAGGGTCGGCAGCGCGCTGCCCCTCACTCCTCCTCGTTCCCCCCCACCACGGCTCCCTTACAAACTCTGCACTTGGACGTCTGGGGCCCCTCCCCGGTCCGTGGCCCACGTCAGGAGCGTTACTTCCTGATTGTGGTGGACGACTACTCCCGCTACACCACGGTTTTCCCCTTGCGACGGAAGGCCGACGTGCCTACCATCCTTGAGCCGTGGCTACTAGCGAGGGGTGGCGTCCAGGGCCTGTGTGGGCTCCGCCTACACTCGGACCGTGGTGGTGAGTTTTCTTCCACTCGCCTGGACGTTCTGTCAGGGTCGGGGGATCATCCACTCTTACACGCTACCTGACTCGCCGCAGCAGAACGGGGTAGCCGAGCGACGCATCGGCCTGGTCATGGAGGTTGCCCGGACCTCCATGTGCCATGCCGGTGCCCCCCAGTTCTTGTGGCCTCAGGCAGTCCGCTACGCCGCGCACCAGCTGAACCTGTGGCCTAGTGACGCACGGCCACGGGTGACGCCGATCTTCCTTTGGACAGGTTTTCCGGGCGTAGCAGCTGACTACCGCGTCTGGGGTTGTCTGGCTCACGTTCGCGCCCCTGGCGCGAACAAGTTGTCTGCGCGCATCCGTGCCTGCGTCTTTCTTGGCTTCCCACTCGACGCCTCAGGCTGGGTGTTCTACGACCCAGTCACCTACCAGTTCTTTGCCTCTCAGGACGTCACTTTCGATGAGTCGGTCAGTTACTACAGGAGTCGCCCCCACCGAGGTTCTGAGGCCTTTCCCCCCCCGCTGTTCCTCACCCTTGAGCCCCCCCCAATAGCCCCGGTAGCCCCACCCCCTTCGCGTCCTGCCCCGTCAGGTGTGTCGCACGTCACTCCGCAGTCTTCCCCCCCACAGCGTCCAGTCCCTGTCGTGTCTGGGGGTGTTGGAGGTGCAGTTGCGGAGGGTGAGGGTACTAGGGCTGCTGGAGCCCGTCGTGCCAGCTCTGGGGGTGCAGGCGGTGTGAGAGTGGAGACCACTCCTGAGGAGGACACGGCTGTCTCGACTCAGCGGCCTCGCCCGGCCTCACCACCTGGCTTCCCGTTTGTTCCGCAGTTCCCTCCTCGTTCGCCTCCGCGGCCGGTCGCTGCGGAGCCTGGGGGTGTTCCTGTAGGAGGCACTAGAGTCCCTGGGGGTGTTGTCGGTGGAGGTTCTGGTTCTGGGGGTGTTGGAGCCGGAGACACGAGCACTGCGACGCCTACGCCGCGCACTGTACGTTTCCTGACCCGAGTGCAGCGTTTAGACAGGTTGGAGAGGGAGGAGCGGGAGTGGTTTGAGAGGGCACGGCAGGAGCAGCAGCAGCAGCAGTCTCAGTCGGAGCGTCAGGAGAGAGTAGAGGAGGAGTCACGTCAGCAGCAGCAGCAGCAGCACTCTCAGTCGGAGCGTCACGAGAGAGTAGAGGAGGAGTCACGGCAGCAGCAGCAGCAGCAGCGGCAGCAGTCTCAGTCGGAGCGTCAGGAGAGTGTAGAGGAGGAGTCACGGCAGCAGCAGCAGCAGCAGCAGCAGCAGCAGCAGCAGCAGCAGCAGCAGCAGCAGCAGCAGCAGCAGCAGCAGCAGCACCAGCAGCAGCAGCAGCAGCAGCAGCAGTCTCAGTCGGAGCGTCAGGCGAGAGTAGAGGAGGAGTTACGACTGCCGCAGCAGGTGCAGTTGCAGCCACAGCAGGAGAGGGTAGAGCAGGAGTCCCGGCCGCAGCAGCAGGTGTTGTTGCAGCCACAGCAGGACAGAGTAGAGGAGGAGCCACAGGAGCAGCAGGGGGGGCAGGTGCCGCAGCAGCAGTCACCAAAGGAGGCGGAGCAGCAGCGACTTAGAGACCTGCCCGACTCAGCACCTGCACGCTTTGTTCGTGGTCCCCTACCGTCCCCTCCTGTTCCCCCTGTCGAGTCCCTTTCCTCGTCCCAGTGGACTCGTCGTTCTCCCCTCAGTCGTGCTGTGTCCCCAGAGCCTCGCCGGTCCCGTTACCGTGCCGACGGTCCGTTTCACCTTGTTCTTCGCTCTCATGTTCCACCTCCTCCTGTCCTTCCACAGCCTCCTGAGTCTTCCCTCACTGTGTTTCACGACCCGTTGTCCGACTACCTCCGTGCCTCTCGTCCTGTCGTCTCTCGTGTATTGTCCGCGTTGGTCACGCACCCGACTGCACCTCTGTCGTCTGTCTCGGCACTTGTTACCACTGTCACTGGCTTTGCCTCTTCCCACCGCCTTGACTACGCCGCTCACTTGGTGAGTGGACCTGCTCGTTCTCCGGTCTCTGGGGGTGCTCCTGTGTTTCCCCTTAAGGTCCTCGAGGACAGGCAGTTCGAGCTTGGTTTCCTTGCGGCCGCTGTTCCTCATCTCTGCGCCATGCTGCTTGCCCCTGAGGGGGATCCAGACGCCCTTGACATCCCGATCCCTCGCAATCACGCTGAGGCGGTCTCGGGACCCTGGGCTTCGTACTGGATAGCAGCTGAGGAGGCAGAGATGGCATCTTATAGGTCCACAGGCACCTACGTCGACGCCGTCCCACCACCTGGGGCGAACGTTGTCAGTGGCATGTGGCTCTACAAGGTGAAGCGGCCGCCTGGAGCACCACCCGTGTTCAAGGCGCGATACGTGGCGAGAGGCTTCAGTCAGCAAGAGGGGGTAGAATTCTTTCAGACCTTCGCTCCCACCCCGAAGATGACCACTCTCCGGGTGTTGCTGCATATTGCAGCACAGCGCGACTACGAGTTGCACTCCTTAGACTTCTCCACTGCGTTTCTTCAGGGGAGCCTGCACGAGCAGATCTGGCTGCGTCGTCCGCCTGGCTTCACTGACTCTTTCCCTCCTGGGACCCAGTGGCAGCTGCGTCGACCGATCTACGGCCTGCGCCAGGCTCCCCGCGAGTGGCACGACACGCTACGTACGACTCTTGCAGCGCTTGACTTCTTTCCGTCCTCTGCCGACCCGTCGCTTTTCGTCCGCCGTGGCTCGACCCCGTTCTTTGTTTTGGTCTACGTTGACGACCAGGTCTTCGCCACTCCCGACCGACGCGCACTGGCCTCCGTGAAGGAGGAACTGCAGAGGAGACACACTTGCACTGACCTTGGAGAGCTGCAGTGCTACCTTGGCCTGCAGATCACCAGGGACAGGGCAGCTCGCACCATTACGCTGACGCAGTCGCACATGGTCGAGCAGATCCTCACGCGGTTTCGCTTCCCGTTCTCCAAGGTACAGCCCACCCCTCTTGCTGTGGATCATGGGCTCACGCCTCCACCTTCGGACGAGCCATTTGAGTCCAGCGGTCCATATCCTGAGCTGGTGGGTTGTCTCATGTACCTGATGACCTGTACTCGCCCAGACCTAGCTTACCCTCTTAGCGTCCTTGCGCGTTTTGTTGCGCCTGGGAGACACCGGCCTTCCCACTGGTACGCTGCTAAGAGGGTGGCGAAGTATGTGGCAAGTACATCAGGCATGGGACTTGTCCTTGGAGGGAAGCAGCTGTCACGAGACGAACTTAGCTAGGAACGGGTTTAACTAAGGGCCTAGGCTTAGTAGCCTAGGCCAAGCGGGTGTCGAGGGAGTTGTGCCAAGAGAGAATCGAGAATGTGTGTCTTCACTATAGGTTTGCAAGAACATATAGCAAAGAAACAAAGAGGTGCACCACCACAACAAAGAAACATAACTACACTAAAGCTAAAGCTACAGGCAGTTATAAACATATATAGATATATATCGCGACACACCCCCTTAACTGCCTGCAGCACATAGCTAGAGCAAGTCACACCCCCTGAAGGGGCAGGTGCGGTGGGAGACGGCAGAGGGGTACGTGAGGAGGAGGAGGCAAGAGGAAGAGAGGAGAGGAGAATAGATAAGAACACAGGAGGAGGTGAGTGGGGGATGAGGAGAGGAGGTGGGGGGTGGCCGCAGCGTCCCCTCTTACCAACCCCCTTTTACGAAAGGGGGGGTTGAGTGGGGGATGAGGAGAAGAGGTGGGGGGGTGGCCGCAGCGTCCCCTCTTACTAACCCCCACATCCCCACCCCCAACCAACCACCCGCCCTCAACCTCACCCCCCATTTCAGTCGCCCCCTGGAACCGCACTCCCTCCACCCCTGTCTTCCTCCATACCTCTCCCAACCCACGATGGTCCCTGTACAGTCTTTCACAGGTGGGCTGCTGGGCACAGGTGGGGCTGCTGGTCACAGGTGGGGCTGCTGGTCACAGGTGGGGCTGCTGGTCACAGGTGGGGCTGCTGGTCACAGGTGGGGCTGCTGGTCACAGGTGGGGCTGCTGGTCACAGGTAGGGCTGCTGGTCACAGGTGGGGCTGCTGGTCACAGGTGGGGCTGCTGGTCACAGGTGGGGCTGCTGGTCACAGGTGGGGCTGCTGGTCACAGGTGGGGTTGCTGGTGCTGGTGCTGGCGGCTGGCGCTGGTGCTGGTTCCTGGTGCTGGCAGCTGGCACTGGGGCTGGTTCCTGATGCTGGCGGCTGGCGCTGGGGCTGGTTCCTGGTGCTGGCGGCTGGCGCTGGTGCTGGTTCCTGGTGCTGGCGGCTGGCACTGGGGCTGGTTCCTGGTGCTGGCGGCCGGCGCTGGGGCTGGTTCCTGGTGCTGGCGACTGGCGCTGGGGCTGGTTCCTGGTGCTGGCGGCTGGCGCTGGGGCTGGTTCCTGGTGCTGGCGGCTGGCGCTGGGGCTGGTTCCTGGTGCTGGTGGCTGGCGCTGGTGCTGGTTCCTGGTGCTGGCGGCTGGCGCTGGTGCTGTTCCGCCACCACTCCCTTCCCCTCCTCTCTCTCCTTTCCACAGCGTCCCACCGCCACTCCCTTCCCCTCCTCCCTCTCCTCCCCATGGCGACCGCCGCTGCACACGCAAACAGTCGCGACGGGGGGGGGGGGGTGACGGGCAGGGGGCGGGGGGAATGCGACGGGCAGAGCGGGCGAATGAGCGGCTGGGGCGATCGCCAGTGCTCTGGCGATCGTCGCTGGCGTTCCCCCGTCACTCCTATCCCCTCTTCCCTCTCGCCCCCACAGAGTTCCGCCGCCACTCCCATCCCTTCTTCCCTCTCCCCCCCACAGCGACCGCCGGTGCGACGGGCGAGGTGCAAGGTGGCGCTGGCTGCAGTCGATGGCGCAAACGCGATCGCGGGCCGCTGGCGACTTCGCTGGCGACTTCGCTGGCGGGTCGCTGGCGGCGGGTCCGCTGGCGTTCGCCATAGCGTCCGCCGCGCCCGTCGCGCTGAGAGCCGCGACGAGGCAGGCGACGGGGGGCAGCGCGAGCAGCAGGGAAAAAAAAAAGATACGCAAGGTGCGGATTTCGCGCCACTAACTGTAGCAGTCGCGAAATGTGGTGGGCCCATAAACGAAATAGGTCCTAGGACGGACCACTCTGTTACCATGTCACGAGACGAACTTAGCTAGGAACGGGTTTAACTAAGGGCCTAGGCTTAGTAGCCTAGGCCAAGCGGGTGTCGAGGGAGTTGTGCCAAGAGAGAATCGAGAATGTGTGTCTTCACTATAGGTTTGCAAGAACATATAGCAAAGAAACAAATAGGTGCACCACCACAACAAAGAAACATAACTACACTAAAGCTAAAGCTACAGGCAGTTATAAACATATATAAATATATATCGCGACAGCAGCCAGTTACACTTACAGGTTACTCGGACTCGTCGTGGGCCGACGACGCGGAGTCGCTACGGTCTACACAGAGTTACTGCTTCAGTCTTGGGACCGGAGCTGTTTCGTGAAGGTCGACTCGGGCGTCGTCCGTCTCTAGTTCCAGCTATGAGGCAGAGGTGTACGCTGCGGCCATGGCCGCCCAGGAGCTTCGCTGGCTGTCTTTCCTCCTCACCGACCTTGGTGAGCGGCCTCGCTCTCCCCCAGTCTTGTTCGCCGACAACAGGTCTGCTGTCCTGTTGTGCGAGGAGCCCCGACTGGTTGGGAAGGCGAAGCACATCCAGCTTCGTTACTTCCTTCTGCGCGAGTTTCAGCAGCGTGGCCAGGCACGCGTGGTACGTGTGGTCTCTAAGGCCAACACTGCAGATATCTTCACCAAGGCGTTGCCGCCTTGTGCCCACCAGCGTTTCTGCACCCAGCTAGGCCTTGTGTCTACAGGCCCTCACTTGCTTGTGTAGAGATGCTTGTCATGCATGTTTGTACTCTTGCATCTCATATATCTGCTATACACTTGCATGTGGACTGGCCTTGTGGCCCCTTGCTTGTTCTCGGACTGTGTGGTGATCTTGAGATCCACCCCGAGAGTTGCTTTGTTCTTGTGAACTGGTCTTGTGACCCTTGCTCTTGGGTTGTGTGTCGCTCTCCACAGGACTGCCGTCACCTAGACTATGGGGGTGTGTCAAACTATATTTCTATAGTTATGTTAGTTCTAGTCTAGGTGTATTCCGTTGTGCTAGGGTTAGGGCTAGCCTTGCATATATCTTTCCTGTTTTGTTCATTGTTATTCATTCTCATATTCAAACACTCCTCCTGTCGCTCTTACGCCTCCTCGTCGTCGAAGGTGAGCTCGGTGTAGGCGTCGACTGAGACCAGCGTCTTCGAGGTCCGACCACCCTGCTCCTTGTCGATGAATCGCCTACGCAGCTTGTCGGGATAGCACTGCTGGTGCAGCCACAGCTTTCTCGCCGGCCTGTCGCGCACGATCTCTAGGCCGAGGTACTTCTGCACTGGCGAAATCTCGCGCAGCTCGAAGGCGGCTTCCAGCAGCTCCTTTGGCTCCTTCAGCATCGCGGTGCTGCTGTTGGCGGCGATCAGGTCGTCGACATAGACCAGCACCCAGCAGGCCACCTTGTCGGCGCCGACCTTGAAGTAGAGCGCCGTGTCGACCTGGTGTTAGAATGAACAAGAGTGATTGCACTAGGGAAGAGTTGGGTACAAGTAGGAAACCCTAAACTTACTGTACCCCATAACAACTACCCCACTACAGCCTAAACAAACTGTAGCAGATATAACATTTGACACACCCCCATAGGCAAAGTGGGGGAGAGCAAGGGGTCACAAGACCAGTCAAGAAAGGCAAAGCAAGCTCAGGGTGGATCACAACGTCACCACACACTCTGAGCACAAGCAAAGGGCCACAAGGCCAGTCCACATGCAGAGGCATATATGCAACACAAACAGCACAGTGATCTCTACCTATCAAAGCAAGCATGCAGGTATATATATATAGATCACAGTACAAGCAAAGCCTACAGCAAGTGAGGAAAAGTGGGCACAAGCCCTAGCATAGTGCAGAGACGCTGATGATCACCAGACTGAAGTGCCTTGGTGAATATATCAGCAGTGTTGGCCCGAGTGGCCACGTAACGCAGACGAAGCTGACCACGCTGTGCAACTCTCGAGCCAGGAAGTAACGCAGAGCGATGTGCTTCGTTCTGTGCTCCAGTCTGTGCTCCTCACACAAGGCAATGGTAGCCTTGTTGTCGACGTACAGCACTGGAGGAGAACGAGGCCGCTCTCCCAAGTCAGTCAGCAGGTAGGTGAGCCAGCGTAACTCACCCCCAAGAGCACACTCACCCCCGACGGACGGAGGACAGACAGACTCAGACTCAGACTCAGCAACAAGACTTGCAGCGTAGTCTAGACGACAGTGAGCAGCAAAGTCGACAAGCTCAGCAACTAAGGCAGACGCAGCAGCTGACTCAAAGGAAGGGTCAGTGACAGCACTGGCCAGGAGACGCATGACAGTAGGACTAGCAGCACGAAGAGAGTCAGACTCCGGGTCAGCAAGGGCAGGAAGAGAGGACGCAGGAGGAGAAGGCAGCGGGACACGCTGTGGAGCAGTGGAAGGACGAAGCGCCATCTGGTGAGTGCCTGGGACAGCAGGAGGACGCTGACGCGGGACACGACGACTAGTGCGAGCAGCACGAACAGGTGACGCAGACCGAGACTCAGGCGACACAGGACGAGACTCAGGCTCACGACGCTCCGTAAGACCGCCTGTCGGACCAGTGTAGGGAGAAGGACCAGGGAGTGGCGAGGCAGGCGGTAGCTGTGACAGCGACTGGACAGGCGGAGGACACTCTAAGGAGGGAGCAGGACAAGGAGGAGGCGGCTGACCAAGAACCTGCTGAAGGAGGGGAACGAAGTACGGCTGTGGCCGTGAAGTGCCCCCAGAACCAGCAGAGACAGCACCAGAACCTCCAGCAGCAGCTCCAACTCGCTCAGCACCACCAGCAGCTCCAGTACCTCCAGCAGCACCAGCAGCACCTCCAGCAGGACCAGCACTAGCAGCACCTCCAGCAGCACCAGTACCTCCAGCAGCACCAGCCCCAGTGCCAGCAGCACCACCAGCAGCTCCAGTACCTCCAGCAGCACCAGCAGCACCTCCAGCAGGACCAGCTCCAGCAGCTCCAGTAGCACCCCCAGTCCCAGCAGCTCCAGTACCGCCAGTACGAGCACCTCCAGGACCAGTGGCTCCAGCACCTCCAGCGCCAACCCCTGGGTCAGCAGCAACACCAACTCCAGTAGGCTCAGCGCCCTCAGCTCCAGCTCCAGTAGCACCTCCAGCTCCCACAGCACCACGCCGGCGGCGACAGTACCGAGAGTACCACTCACGCAGCTGTTGGGAAGAGAGAACGCCCCCAGGCGCAGCACCCCCAGGCTCAGGACCTCCAGACTCACCCCCAGGGACAGCACCCCCAGTCTCAGTACCCCCAGGATCAGCATCCGCAGTCTCCGCACCCCCAGGCTCAGCACCCCCAGTCTCCGCACCCCCAGGCTCAGCACCCCCAGTCGTAGGACCCCCAGACCCAGCACCACCAGGCTCAGCACGCTCAGGCTCAGCACGCTCAGTATCTCGCGCAGCTACCTCGACCGGCTCGACCGGGTCTACCTGGGAAACGCCTGAGGGAGCAGGACCCTGGGGAGGCAGGGGGTCTACCGAAGCAGCACCTGGCGTGAGGAAGAGCGGCGGAGGGGGGAGCGGGGCAGTGCGGTAGGGGAAGAGACAGTAAAAGGGGACCGACTCGTCAAACGTGACGTCCTGAGAGGGGAAGACATGGCGCGAGGTGGGGTGGTAAAACTGCCAGCCAGGCGCGTCAGGGACAAAGCCCAGGAAGACACAAGGAACGGCACGGGAGGAGAGCTTGTCCGCGGACGTATCGCGGACAAAGGCACGAGATCCCCAGACCCGGAACACAGACGCATCGCCAACCGCTCCCGTCCAACGCAGTGTCGGCGAGGTCTCCGGAACGGAGACACGGGGCCAGAGGTTGAGCTGATGCGCGGCGTACCGGACCGCAAACGGCCACAGAAAATGGGGGGCAGCCGCATGGATCAAGGAGGTACGAGCGACCTCCATGACCAAGCCAATGCGGCGCTCAGCAACCCCATTCTGCTGAGGAGAGGCCAGAAGCGTCTGCTCAATGCCCTCCCCCTGACAGAAGGCCTCCAAGAGGCCGGAGGAAAACTCACCACCTCTGTCAGAGTGCAGTCGCAGGACGGGAAGGTCCGTGCGAAAGCGCCTCTCCAGCTGGAGACGAGTAGCGCGGATCCAAGGGATCAAGATAGCAGGGACCTCTCCCTTGGTGCGCAAGGGGAGGACCGTGGTGTGACGCGTGTAGTCGTCAACTACCAGCAGGAAGTAGCGCTCTCCGCCCTGTCCACGGACGCGGGCTGGGCCCCACACGTCCATGTGAAGGGTCTGCAGAGGAGCCTCCGTCGGGGGGAACGCAGAGGAGTGAGGAGTGGCACGCTGCCGCCCCTCGACACAGGGAAGGCAAGGAGGGGCAGGGGACGGTGGCAGGGGAGGCAGTGACCTGGGGAGACCAGAGACAAGGAAACGAGAGTGCATGCCACGAAGGCGCTGCATCGAAGGGTGCCCAAGGCGGTGGTGCCAGAGGACCGTCCAGTGCGACAGGGTGCGACACGAGCAGGGGGCGGACAACTGACCTGACGCAGACGCAGACGCCGCTACCTGAGGGGACTCAGTGGTCAGTGTGTACAAGTCCGACCCCGGCTGCCGAGTGAAGGTAGCCAGGTGACGACCCGTCTGGGCACACGTGCAGTGTGTCACACGCTCGTAGGCAGGGGTGAACTGGTGAACACCCGCGTCCTGGAGCGCAGAACCCGCCACCAAGTTCGTAGAGAACGAGGGGAGGTAAAGCCCCGACAGTGTGCCGGACGGGACAGCAGGACAAGGGAGGGCAGTGGTGGAGGTCGCAAGGACCGGACCCCCGGAGGGGTCAGCCAGGGAGA